CTTATATTATCACAACAAAGAACACGTCTTGCTATTTTGCACGCTACTTTGTATATCTTTGTATATCTGTATATAACTCTTTTATTTCCTGTGTCTTGTCTTGTCACTGTCTTTCTGTTGCACTGTAGAGTTCTGTCACTACAACAAATTCCTCGTATGTGTCAACATACCTGGCAATAAAGCTTATTCTTCTTCTTATTCTTATTCTTGGCTGATTGGGGATGCTGAGCGTCCGCAGGCTGTCCCTACGTCATCATCTTCCCCATCTTCTGTGCATAGTGGAACGGATCGCACTGTAGATGGTGGAACAATGTCCCTCTTTCTGTACCCAGTAAGGTCATAGTCGTTGAAGTGTGGTGAGAGGCATGACTGCCTCCTGACACGCACACTGGGTTCTTCTTCCATCCTCTGGGACATAGGTGGTCTGTAGTGAGCTCCTATCCGGCTCGAAGGACCATGAAAAGGAGGCAGGGCTGTGTATGCTCGCCTCTCTGACTAAACCTGACTTCTTTTACTGGTATGGGAAAGATTAGCCCACCACAGGTGATCTATCAGAATCACACGGGGTCCCAGGGTCCAGTTTAAACTCTTTAATGAACAGTAAGCATTCCAAACAAGCTTCCAGTTGCTAGTTCAGTACTCCTGCATACAAACTTTACTTTGGGTGTGGTTTTCCTATAAAGCAATATTCAACAGTAACACAAATAAACCAAGGTAGTTGAAACTTATATGCAAAATATTACAATATAAAATACAGAGGCATGTTATTCTATAACATACTCCTTAACATATCCTTTAGGCAATATTAAGCCCCTGAGCATCAGGCCTTTATAGCCTTATAACTAACTACGTGGTTATCTAACTACTCCACATGTCCATAATTTAGTAAACATTATTATACCAGATTAAACAAATGCGTTATGGAAGGTTTAGATGGTTTAGGCATGAACAGGGTAGACTTTCTATATTGCTTAACAGCTTCATTATTACCTCTCTTTAGATTGTTAGGCTAACAGAATATGAGCATGGGCAAATTAGCATGGTAACCGCGAGGAAGCGCACTTACTAAACAACCATTAACTTTTAGCAAAGCGAATAACTTGTTCGTAAGTGATATCAATAATAGCCAACAGGTTATATTATACAGCACTTACATTGTATTTACGCACACCGATGGCAAAGGACAGACTATCCCACGAGGCAATTGTGGGAGCACCCACTCCAGGCACAATGCAACAAGGAAGTTTGTCCGTGGCGCGCTGCACGCACAACTCTGCAATGGTCCAAACCAACATATAATGAAAAAGGGGGTAGCCTTTTAAACAATCATACCTTTAATCGGTTGTACGAAAATCTACCTAGCACATCACCAATCAATTTCCAGTAATAGATGCACATGTAGTGTAAATTATGGGTCAAACACAAAACTCATAGCAAGACATTGGATTCTAAAAGAAAACCAAACTGGATGACAAACAAAATGGTTCTTTTGGCACAGTTGGTGCTTAAATGGAAGGAATAGTGCGAGGAAAGTTTGGCCCAGCTGTTACAAGCACGGACAAAAAAAGCTTAGGAGGCTATTGCAAACTCCGTAAATGCTGCGTCACCTCAGACAAGGTGTTCCGCAGAGAAATGTGAAAAAAGGTGGTATAATGTTCGCCAGTTGCCAAAAACGTAGCATCTTTATCACCTTCAGTTCAACTGTAAGTGCATTTTTAGGTGATGTAGGAGATTGTATCCGGTTCCTAATTAGGTTGGTAACAAAAAGAATGCCCTCATGATCGAGCCTGTACCTTTTTATCAATTCATTATTGTTGTACACTTGCAGGACGTCCTTTCTTTGACAGAAAGTGCGCGTAGTGCAGCTACCATCATTCAACTCCTAACTGACTTAGGAGTCCTCTCCAGCTCTCTTAAATAATTTAGGAGCTGAGACCAAGTCTTAACACTTAAGAATGTTTATGCATGCCACTTATTCTTAAGTC